AACAGCCCTGGTTGATGGGCTGGAGGCTGACTCACTTTGAAGGCCTTGAATCAGATCCTTGGCATTTCCCTTGGTTGCATGAGGCCTGATTCTCTGGAACACTTGCCTCTGAGGCTGAAGTGGAGATGTGGGCCCTGGTCATCAGGGGATGGGACCCAAGGCCAATGAGGGAAAAGCTCAGTACAGGAGATTGGGTGGGAGCTGTGACTTCAGGAAGGGCTGGTAGGATGAAGGGAAAAGGAGGCCTATCCAGGAGAGGGGGGCATTGCTGTCAGATCAACAGAAAGAAGTAAGCACATGTAGTGTTAAAGTCCAGGAAGCTCAGAGGAAAAGGTCTAAAATAGGATCTTTGAGCAAGGTTAGATTTCTCCTACCCTTCTCTTGAGTGGGACAGAGGAGGAGCAAAATCAGGAAAAGGGTCTCTGGCTATGTATAGCTTTGGGAAAGGCCTAGCTCCATATCTACAGTGTAGTTGCCTTAAAAGTGACCCACGAGATAGTTGTTAACTAGCATGAAATTCCAGTCTTCTGGGAGGCTGAGTCAGGAGGATCATAACTTCAATTTCATCCTGGGCAAATTAGCAACTTTGTGAAAGCCTGTCTGGTACAAAAAATAAGAGTGGGCTGGGGATTTAGCTCAGTTGGAAAGTCCTGGGTTCAATCATTCATATAAGGCAGAGAAAAAGAGAGAGAGAGAGAGAGAGAGAGAGAGACAGACAGACAGACAGACAGACAGACAGACAGACAGAGACAGAGAGACAGAGACAGAGAGGCAAAGACAAGAGAGACAGAGACTGTGAGAGAGACAGACAGAGACAGAGAGACAGAGAGAGACAAAGAGAGATAGACGGGGGTGGGGGTGGGGGTGGGGGTGGGGAGATACCGACACCTGACCAGGCTGATTGCCCAGCCAGGCAGGCCTTTTCTGTGGCCTCAGGGTTCTCAGGGCTGCCCTGACAAGCAGCCAGGGTGACTCCCCAGTAAGCCCTCAAGGGCAGCATGGTCTTTTCTCTTTCCTCCTCCCTCCACAACCTCATAGTATCCTCAGCTTGGGGGCTTGAGGGAGAGTGGAGAACTGTGAAGGTGACCACAGACGGCAGGGTCAGGAGATGCCTGAAAAAACAAGTGGGGAGACTGCGACTGAGGCGGGACCTCTGATAGAAGGCAGGTCCGAATGGGGGCACTGAGGACTCCCCTTGGGTCCCTCACCTCCAGGGAACAAGCTGCTGGTACTTTTTGGCTGGTCCCAGGGGGGTCGTGATGAGTGACTTCTGCCACAAGGACTTCAGGAGAAGAGCCAGTCCTGCTCAGGGGGAGGGGTGAGCAGAGGCAGGGCCCGTGTGTGTGTGTGTGTGTGTGTGTGTGTGTGTGTGTGTGTGTGTGCACCAAAGGAGCTGGGGTGCAGCTAAGGGGTGGTCCTGGGGCGCTGCAGCCGAACACTTGGCTTGCCCTTTCTCCTGCCTGGGGGCTTCCTGCACCATCATCAGCCTTCTTCAGGTTGGCTCTCTTTTTGGTTTTTGTTTTCTTTTTGTTGTCAAATGTAGTTTGTGAGTAGTTGGGCATGCCACCACACTGAGGTCAGTGCCATCGAAACCCACGGGAGGGACAGAGCCTGGGACCCCTCACGGTTCCAGGAAGCTCTCTGGCTAAGATACCTGCTGCGCCGTGTTGACACTCTCATTACAAGCAATGCAGGCATGGAGAAGGCCTGCCCAAAGGGATGTTTTCATTCTGCTTGATGTCTTTCTACTTGTTTCCATTTTGGGGCAGCTTCTCCAGGGCTTTGGGGATCACTGCCCTGCATGGTACCCCCTCACTGAAGCTGTTCTGAATGTGATCCTCATGCCATTGTGGTCACTGCATAGCTTGATAATGTCACCACTCCCACCCTCTTTTGGAGACAGAGCCAGGCCTATCTTGGGGCCCAGGGCAGGCAAGGCACCAACATCCTCACTGGTGAGTCTCAAGAATACAGCTTTAAGCTTGTAGGGGCCAAACTCAGGTGACATGGCAGGGGTGATGGATTCCTTGCCCCGACGTTCAGCATCTTGCCCCGCTGCCCTTCAAGGCTCCTCTGTCAGCACCTAAGTGTGCAGCCCTAGCTACTGGGCAGCTCATCTGCCTGACCCAATGGCCTCTGAGCCTCTGCGCCAGCTGAACCCTCTGCCTCTCTGCTGGGAGTGCCCTCCATGTCTTTCTGCTGAGACTCCCTCGTCTGGAGTCTTCCCTGGTCCTCACATAGCCAAGCTGTGACTATGCACATCGCCAGCCTCTCGGTGGGGGCAAGGGTGCTGCAGTGAGTTGCGGGCCTGTGTCTGATCCCCTAGCACATGGTCAGCGTCCAGTCAATGGGCCTGAGCACCTGAAGGTAAGAATGAGTAAATGAATGAATGAGCCTGTGGCAAGGTGAGAAGATTAAACAGAGATGTGTCCCCAAGTGGAAACTGCCCTGTGATGCCTCACCTAGATTCAGGCTGCCCTCTCCAGAGGTTAATTTTGGGGCACTGCTAGACCACATATGTTGGGCACCTGCCCAGGCCCTCCCAAGCATTGCTCATGGGCAGCATACTTGTGGCTCTGTAGTGGGCCCAAAGCAGGACTTGTGGGTGGGCAGGGACTTAAGGCCCCAGAAGCCTGGGAATTTAGCCCGTGTTAAACCAGGGGAAGGAACGCAGTCTGCAGTGAGATCAAAATATTCCCGGCTGTGGAGAAAGGGGAGGTAAATAGTGATAGCTGAACTGAGGTTGGCTGGGATGGGGTGGAGGCAGGGGGTGGGAAGGTGGGTGAGGGTTCTCCAGGAGGGAAAGTGG